ATGTCAGAGGTTTAAGAAACACAAAGACCAAGGGGATAGGGGTGGTGGTTTGTGATGGCATTCCAGACCTGGGTGTGGTTTTTCTAGAACTACCTCCAGACAGGACTACGGTGCCAGGCTGAAACCAGCATTAGGACTAGCATGGCAGTGTAAACAAAGCAGAATAGTTCAGTGTTTGTGTTTTCAATGACTCTTGGCTACCTTCCTTCTCCTTTTCCTTCCTTTCCTTCTTAATCCACCAGATCCCTGAGTTTCTCCACCAGAAAAACCTTTGAATTCTTCCTGCCGGAGACAAAAATATTGTTGGTAGCAAGGAAATGAACAAACAAAAACAACACCAACACAAAACTGGAGGGAAAAAAAGCAAACATCTCCTGTGTGATTGCCTTGTACCAGTTTTAGGTACTTTGCATATGTAAATTCATGCAGTTTTCCTGAAAACATCAGAGGTTCACATTTCAACTGAAACAGAGATATTAGTTGATGAGTCCAAGTCACATAGTAGCTAATAAGTGGGATTGGGCTTCAAATCCAGGTCTGTTTACTTAGACTCTCTACCTTTCTACAAAGTTATACCTGTGTGTAGTGGAAACGTCATTTTGTAAATTCTACTTAGAGAATGTACAGTTTTCATAAACCTCAGTTCATTGATTCATTGTCCCACCTCTTTCTAAAAGTAATTCTGAAGTTGCTCAAGGGACAAGAAAAAAAAAACTTTGAAATGATCTTTTTTTAAAGTCCTACAAATAAGCTTTTGAGGTGGGGTGGGAAGGAATATATCAAAGTCCATATCAATGATAAATCTTAACTGTTTCCTATACTAAGGGTGATAATGATAACAATCATAAAGACTAATATTGGAATGATCACTGTATGTCAAACATCATGCTGTATTCTCCATATGCATTGTCTCATTTAATCCTCACAATGATTTTATAAAGTACCTACCATTAATTACATAATTAGGTAAGAGAGATCAGTTAATTTATCCATGGGCAAAGAGGCACATAGGTTTATCCAAATCCATGTTTTTCCCCTTCAGCACTATGTGCTGGATTATGCCCTTTACATTTGAATAAAAATAATATAAAGTGCTGCTTGATTTATCAGTGGCATATAAATTCAGAGAGATCTCTATGAACACGTGATCATTTCTGTTTATTTTGGCACTGCCATCAAAATCAGCAGAGGCAATTATATGCTTCGGCTCTGAAGGACTCTGGGTCTAACCTAACAAAATACATGTTAACAGAAAATTGGCAGTTGGACTTGAAATGAATTGATTCCTCTTAGCCTGTTCTTTTGCCTGCCATTTTAGTATACTAGGTAGACTGTGTCTGTGGTTTGGGGTTTGTTTTTTGCTTTATAATTTTTGTATATAGATGTCTCTATTTATTATTGATACAGAGAAAAGGCATTGGGAGGAGAATGGGGCCTTATTAGTGAGAAAGTCAGTCAGTTCAGTTGCTCAGTCACATCTGACTCTTTGCAACCCCATGGACTGCAGCACACCAGGCTTCCCTATCCATCACCAACTCCTGGCACTTACTCAAACTCATGTCCATCGAGTCGGTGATGCCATCCAACCATCTCATTCTTTGTTGCTCCCTTCTCCTCCTCCCTTCAATCTTTCCAAGCATTAGGGTTTTTTCTAACGAGCCAGCCCTTCACATCAGATGGCCAAAGTATTGGACTTTCAGCATCAGTCCTTCCAATGAATATTCAGGGTTGATATCCTTTCAGTTCAGTTCAGCCATTAAGTCCTCTCTGACTCTTTGTGACCCCCACAGGTGGCAGCATGCCAGGCTTCCCTGTCTTTCACCAACTCCCGGAGTTGCTCAAACTAATGTCCATGTCGAGTTGGTGATGCCATCCAACCATCTCATCTTTTGTTGTCCCCTGCTCCTCCTGCCTTCAATCTTTTCCAGCATCAGAGTCTTTTCAAATGAGTCAGTTCTTTGCATCAGGTGGCTGGAGTAATAGCTGCAGCATCAGTCCTTCCAAAGAATATTCAGGACTGATTTCCTTTAGGGTGGACTGGTTGGATCTCCTTGCAGTTCAAGAGTTTTCTCAAGAGTTTTCTCCAATACCACAGTTCAAAAGCATCAATTCTTTGGCGCTCAGCTTTTGTTATAGTCCAACTCTCACATCCATATATGACTACTGGGAAAACCATTTTATGCTGTCTAGTTTGGTCATAGCTTTTCTTCCAAGGAGCAAGTGAGGAAATAGAGATGAGTAAAGACAATGGTTGGTACAATGTTTGTTGACAGAAGGATTTCTGCACCTATCTCCAGGGATGAAATAAGACAACATAAATCAATGCACTCAAAGTATAGAATTTCAAACTAAGAAGTGGAAGGCAGAAGAGAATGGAATTTCTTAAGATCTGCTATGTTATACATGCTTCATTGTTGTTTAGTCAATAAGTTGTGTCTGACTCTTGTGACCCCGTGAACTGAAGCCTTCCAGACTCTGTCCGTGGGATTTCCAAAGCCAGATTACTGGAGTGAGTTGCCATTTCTTCTCCAGGGGATCTTCCTGACCCAGAGATTGAACCCACCTCTGCTGCATTTTAGGTGGACTCTTTACCACTGAGCCTCCAGGAAAGCCTGATTTGTACTTTAAATTATGCTTTTATTATATTGACATCATTTTACTTGCGTTATAGTCCCTAATATTGCTGGTCAAGTCTAAGTAATTTGCCTAATGCCACATTTTTAGTAAGTGGAATATCTCAAACTCAAAAGTGTGATTTTTCCAACTATAAAACTCATGATCTGTAACCATGCATGCATGTTAAGTTGCTTCAGCCATGTCGGACTCTTTGTGACCCTGTGGACTTTAGCCCACCAGACTGCTCTGTCCATGGGATTCTCCAGGCAAGAAAACTGGAGGGGGTTGCCATGCCCTCCTCCAGGAGATTTTCCCAACCCAGAGATTGAACGCATATCTCTTATGTCTCCTGCATTGGCAGGCAGGTTCTTTACCACTAATGCCACCTGGACACATGCACATCTGTGGTTGATTCATGTTGATGTATGGCAAAGAGCATCACAATATTTTAAAGTAATTATCCTCCAGTTAAATAAATAAATTATATATATATATATGTTATTCAAATGTATTCTATCCATTCCATGTAAAAGAGATAACTCAAATTGAAAAACAAAAACAAAAACAAAAACTCATGATCTAGTAATCTTCCCTGTTATCCTCCATGTTTCAGCAAAGATTGTAAAGTTTGTTTTATATGCAACAGTCTGAATTTAAAGTGCTGCTTTGGGGATGAAATTGCCTGTTTCCGGAAAAAAAAAAAAAAGAAAGAAGACGGTCCATCTATTTGGGAGATTTAAGTGATCACTTGTTGAGAGCATGGGGTTATTAAAAATGGCTTCCAGAGAGAACCTTCAGATCTAGGAATTTGCTGATTAGGAATCTATTGGGCTTCCCTGGTGACTGAGATGGTGAAGAATCAGCCTGCAAAGCAGGAGACTTGGGTTTTATCCCTGAGTCGGCAAGATCCCCTGGAGAAGGAAATGGCAACGCACTCCAGTATTCTTGCCTGGAGAACTCCATGGACAGAGGAGCCTAGTGGGCTACAGTCCATGGCCTCACAAAGAGTCAGATATGACTGAACAATTAACATGCACAGAAATCTAGTGCTAAGGCTGGAAAGAATGGTGGTTTAAACAGCAGAAGTTTCTTTTTCTCTTAAAAGAAGGCGGTGTGAATGTAGGAGGTCGAGAGATCAGGCCGTGGTCGTCTTCAGAGGCCAGGCTCCTTTCCTTTCATCTCCCTGCTCCATTCACCTCTGTTCCTTAAAGCACGAGGCTTCCATACTTCTTTTCATCTCACATGCCAAGGTGACTACTGGATTCCTAGCCCCTGGTTCTTTACTCTGGACCGGAAAGAGAAGGAAGCTTGAGAAGGGTGACAGGGCAAATGCCAATTACCCATCCCTCCACTTCCAGGGCTTTCTCAAAAGCCTCAAACACAAATTCCAAATTACGTCTTACTGGCTACCCTTAGCAACAAGGGACTTTGCAAATACAGTCTTCTGGCTGGGCACCTTGCCACACAGATTACATTTGGGGTTCTATTACTCAGAAAGAATGGGATAATGGCTATTGGATAAGCCACTTGAAGCATTAGCCTCACCACAATTAGCTAATCAGGTACTTGCTCCCAGCGGCAGGACTTCCAATATACGTTCATTAAAATAACATCCTCCTTGCCATGTGTGGTCTGGGATCATTAGCAAAGAATTGGATCAGTTGCCCACTCCAGGGAAAAGCCATGGAACAGTAGGATTTGGACTGTGTGTATTTGAAATCGTGCCGTCTGACGACTGTCACCGTGGGTTGGGAGAAGAAGGAGTGACTCGCAGACGTTAGCAGAGATTAGTCATTACCCTTCTGGATCTGCAAAAACCATGTCGGGATCAAGCAAGAGAAAGACAGCTATGTGGAGCTGCCTTCCCCATCGGCTCCAAGCCGGAGAGAGACGCCTCACCCAGGCATCCTTCTAGCTTGCTTCTAAGTGCTACATTTAACAATATTTATTTAATTATGGGCAAGTTATCATGTGATCAAGGGACTGGAATTAACCCAGGGTCATCTTTTAGTGCAGGCAAGACCACATCCATAACTCTTCCTCAGGTAGCTTTTCAAGGTAGGTGTTCGGTCAGTCGCCCTCCAAACTCCCAAGAGTTCGGACTTATTAAACGATTTAAGAGTTTTATCCATCTACCCTGGAGTTGGTTTTAACAGCCCCAGAGACGTCTGTCTTTCTGGTCTCCGACGCCTACTTCCTTCCACGGCTGTGACGGTCTGGCCAGAGGCAGAGGCGTGGCTTGAATCTCCATCACAGCAACTCCCCTCCAATCAGCCATGTCATGGTGGAATTTTTATTGGTCATAAATTTTTTTACTGGCTAGATTAATGTGATTGAAAGCATCACACCCAGTAAATACCGTCTGCTATTTGCTTTAGCAATACCTGTGGAAAAGGGCAGCTTGGGACCCAGGCCCCGTGGAGCTGGTGAAACCGTCGGCTGCGCCGAAGGCGTTGGGGCCCGGATGACTGATGACCAGGGGCCGGCCTTGGAGGGAGGTCCGCCCGTGACTGATGACCAGGGGCCGGCCTTGGAGGGAGTTCCGCCCGCGCAGCGAGAGGCTCCGTCCGCGCAGGCCGCGGCCATGTGCAGCCGCGATTCACTTCGCTGACTATCAAAGCTTTCCGCAGCGCGGCTGCTGACTTTTGACCAGCGGTTCCCTTTCAACACGAGGGAAATCTGCCGAGAGAGAGAGAGAGAGAAAGCACATCAGGGGGGAAATAAATGGCAGCCGTGTTTCTGGCGGGCTGGTTTTACTGCCCGGGAAGCCTCGGCTCGAGCCTGCCCCGTGTGTCGCCCCGCGGATGTGTCCGCTGGCATGTTACGGGGCATGGTTTATGTCCGCGTGGACTGTTAAACCAACAACAAGGGGGGCATGCAGTCAAACCCTGTTCGACGGCCAGTGCTCCCACACAGACCCCCTCTCGCCGGCCAGAGAGATGAGTGCGTGCCTGTCCCTCCGTCGTGGCCCACGCTCTGCGACCCCGTGGACTGCAACACGCCAGGCTTCCCTGTCTCTCGCTGCCTCCCGTTGTTTACCCAGAGAATGAGTGGGGTGCTGGAAAAGCAGCACCCTCGGAAATCTGCTTCACTGAAAACCGCTCTCTGGCACAGGTCTTGAAAGGAGCTGTGGGCCCCGGGAGCCCGTGGGCCCCATCTGCTGTCTCCCCTCTGACCCTTGGTGGTTTGACTGCGGGGTCATGACTCTGTACCGAGTCGGGTGGACGGTCTGTAAAGATGTTGGTGCAGCCTCGCCCTCAGGCCTCCCAGCAGTGCCTGAAGCCTGCTTGCTCCTTCCTTCCTGGAAGAAAAGCCAGAATTTCACTTCCAAAAAAAAAGAAAAAAAGAAAAAAATTAGAAAAGAGAAACACAAACAGCAAATGTGCCAGATTGCTAAGGGGATCAAGGATCGAAATACAGCCTCAAAAGTCACATGGGCATAGAGAAAACCCCAAATTTTGCCTAAACCCAACCTGGAATATTTGTCTGCCTGGCTTCCTTTTGTCTCGGGCCAGGTTTTAACCATTAGGTAACTTAGAGTCCTCATGCTGGCAGAGGCTAGGTTCAGTGGTAGCTAGAGGGGTTCTCTTTTTAGATTTAGTTCCTCGGGTGGGTGGTGTTGGCATGGCAGTCGGGTCCCTTTGGTGCCAAGCCCGAAGAGCCAGATGACTTTCCTGGGCTGGAGTCCTGTGTATCAGAGTCTGGATGTGCGACTCAGGAAGGGGAAGAGAACTTGATGTGGAAAAAGTGGGGAGGAGGTGAAAGGAGTTAATATGTTAAAGGGAAAGAAAAAGAAGTCACGACAAATGTAAGGAAAAGAAAGGGAAGGGACTTACAGAATAAAAAGAATGAAAGGAGTGAGAAAACGACGAAGTGGAAAAGACGGACTAAGCTGCTGGGAAACGTGTTTGACAATCAAAGCCATCTTTGACTTGGAATCATGAAGCTGATTTCCCTGTGAAACGGTTCTCAGACTGGCGGCTCACGTTTTCCCTGGTGCCCTGTCCATCCACGGTCACGACAACACCTCCCTTAGCACCAGAGACGCTGGGGGCACACGGCTTGAGCTTGTGAACAGGAGTGCCCTCCAACCATAATGTGAGTTTCCAGCGTATTGATAGAGAGGGAAAAAGGCCTTGATGAATCGCAGAAACAGCTTTTTACATGAAACACCATCCAGCTCCCGACCAGCCAGTGGCTCTAATCTCAGCCGAATGTGCAGTGTTTATTTTTCCAAGAATGGGGCCTTCTGTGACTCACGGTACTCAGATGCTACTTACTAATGGACCCTTGTACAAGTAAAGAATGTGACACACGGCGAGACACGCAGCTTAACAATCACAAACAACAGCGCAGCTAATGGGGGGTGAAGCTTCAGTGACATGTGTCATACCAAAGAGCCGACTCCTCCTGTTCCCCGAGGCCACAGATGAAGGGTCTCTGCGCCGTGTAATGATGATAAAATATTGCCATCTGTTGGCATCCTGTGTAAGCAGGCTCCGACATACAGAGCAATTGATGTTTTTCCAGGCTGCCTCTCACATTTCTCCAAGGAGAAGGTGTGCAAAAAGCCTTGGGAAAGAGCAGAACATGGCAGCCTGACCTTATGGGGAGAGAAACATAATGACTTTCTAAAAGTTCAAACCTGGAAGAGAGCAGACTGCAGCAGGCTGGTCTGATCATCTTTTACCTCCAGGGGTGGTGGTCCCGAGACCCATGAGAGGCTACTGACCCCCCGCTGGACGGCTTGGAGGGCTTTATTTCAGACGTGCGGTTGAATGATCTTGGGGGACATGCTTTCCTCTTCACAGAGAGTTTAGAGAGTTTTTCATCCAGAAGGACCTTTATTTATTGCCGGACAGTTAACAGCAAGGATGTTGATCTGTAAAAATCACACATTTTATGGGTGAAATGGTAAATTACAATAAAATGTCCTTCACTTTACTTATCCATAAATGCTGAATAAACCTGACAAAATTATATCGGTTTGTTTTTCTGACCTTGAAAAATATAGAAGGAAATTGTCTTGTTGCAGAAACAAAGTGGGAACTGAAGACCAGTGTAATAATCATGAGATGCTTCGGAAGTCTAGAGAAGTGTTTAAACCAGACCCAATAACCTGGAACTTGGTTGTGTCTATTTGGAGACATAAATGCAATGAATTAAAACAGATCTCTCCATAAAGCTAGGTTCCCTGAAAGGCAGCAAATTCAGAAGGTGAGGAATAATAAATACAACTTTCAGTACAAAGGCATGTCAATATTTGTCTGGGTGTTGGCTGAAGCAAACAAACAAACAAAAACTCCTCTGACAAAAAACCACAGCAGAAATCCTAAGAATTTCACAGATTTGAAGTCAAAATTTACACTATTTTCATATTTCAGAAATCCCCAAACCAGAACATTTACAGAAGAGCTGTTATGAGAGCCAGTGGCCACTGGTATTGTAGCACTGTAGTCTGTCCAAGAAGTGAACCAGAATGTTCTAGAATGATTTTCCTATATATTGGCCCATGAAAAAGTCCAACTGAGAGAGACAGAAAGTAATCTACATTCCACTAAAGAGCTCTCAATATCATGTTGTGAAATGCAAAGAAACGAAAACAAAACTCCATGATCACTGTTAAAGTATGGCTCAGAATTTAATAGAATCAATGGTGCATACTCCTCAGGTTCAAGAGTCAGAAGTTCAAAGATGTAACTGAAAATCTAAAATTAGGAAACACTGTCATGAATAAGGAACACCAAAGACAAATGTAAGGCTTCATTCCAATCAGAGTGAAAAGAAAGCTGTCCAAGCATGAACAATTAAAAGTCACATAACACATAGTGAGAGTTCCAAAGTGCTGATTCACTTCATGTCTCCAGATTTCATCTGCCTCAGATAGAAGGGACACTTTAAATAAAAACTTAGGTTACTTTCCTGTTATTTAAAAGAGAGTTAAAGTCGCACATGACTTAAAAGAGAAGCGGACTCAACTGAGCGGCTGAGCACGCGGCTCATGACGTGTATAATAATGTGTATATGCTTCCTTTCTTTCCCTTACTGATTTAGTGAGGATTTGAAAACTAGAAAAGTGAAGACCTATCAATAGCTGATGGAAATACATTTTAAAATATCTTTCTAGAATTAGGATACATTGGTGGCATTGCACTGGGCCAAAACCTCCATCACACTACACCCTTTTCTTTGGTGATATGCAATTTGTTATGCTATAGCAGATTTTCAAATATTTGCCTACAACAGCAAGGTCTGTAGGCTATAGATCGGAGCCTTCCCATCACTGCCTAAAAAAACATGACAGAGCTTTATGTGTGTGGACTCCATTGTTGTATTTCTGCCCACGTAACACTGTCCATGAAGCTTGCCTTCTCTCATGTATTGAATACAACTTATTTATTCCCAATTCTTCAATACTCAGTGTGTTCCAACAGCCTATATACAGACATCATTGTAAACGCAGTTGATTTTGGTGATAAGATAGCCTGAGAGAGGCTGCAGTATTGCAAACAGCACCAGCTCATTTGGTGCTTGAGTTCTGATCCAGATTCTAACTTGATTCTTCCCTCAGGGTTCCCTTTTCCCATCAAATAGTTGTCCCAGTCTTCCCTGACCTCTTCTGAAATGAGAAAGTCAAATGTGGATTTTACAACCTTGTATAAAGTCTAGATCGTTTAACTTAAGTTGCTTTTTCATTTATGTATTTTTCTTTGGAACTTTTTATCTTGGATTGGGGTATAGCCGGCTAGTAATATTGTGATGGTTTCACGTGAACAGTGAAGGAAATCAGCCGTACATACACATGCATCATTCTTCCCCAGCATTTAGCAGAGTTCCATGTGCTATGGGCCTTGTTGGTTGTCCATTTTAAATACAGTAGTGTGTACGTGTCTCGCCCACACTCCCTAACTATCCCTTCCTCCTGGAAACCATAAGTATGTTTTCTAAGTCTGTGAGTCTCTTTCTGTTTTGCAAGTTCATTTGCATCATTTGTTTCTAGACTCCACATATCCGGGATGTCATAAGATATTTCTCCTCGGTCTGACTTGCTTCACTCAGTATGACACCCTCTAGATCCATCCATATTGCTGCAGATGGCATCATTTATCCTTTTCATGGCTGAGTAATAGTCCATTGTGTGTGTGCCCCACATCTTTATCTGTTCCTCTGCTGATGGACATTTAGGTTGCTTCCATGTCTTGGCTATTGTCAACAGTGCTGCAGTGAACACTGGGTTTCATGTTTCTTTTCAAGTCATGTTTTTCTCTGGATACATGCCTGTAATGTCAGTGTTTTGAGCATGGCACTGGCGAGTATATAATTTTAAGTTTGATTCCTGAGTGGGTTGGTTCAGTGTTTCCTGCTTCATAGCTAACTGCAGTACCCCCAGACCATCCATGTAAAAGTGACGGGAACATCAAAGAAAACAGGAGCATTCAACAGCATATCTGGAGTTCAGAGATGTCCTTACATATCTAACACACCCCAGCCCTCTAATCTGGGCAGCTGAGTATTACAAAAGCCCATCTCATTATTTTATGAGATTTTAAAATTCCATTAAAGCAACAACAGCAACAGAATGTTTAGATGACATTGTCCTGGTGTATTAAAACTAAGATGTTTCACATCAGTGTTTTGATACACAGTGACTGCTCTGTAGTGCCTAAGCTTAAACCTTT